GCTAGATAACGAGAGAGAGAATGAGAGAGCATGAGAGAGAGAGAGAGAGAGAGAGAGAGAGAGAGAGAGAGAGTGAAAGAGAGAGAGAGAAAGAGAGAGGTAGAAAGAGAGAGAGAGAGCGAGAGGGCGGAGATGAAATCACCCCTGTTTTACTCATTTTAACAGCAGCTCCGCGATCACATGAAATGAGCGCGATAGCTGCACTATTTATCCTTACTAGTTTATAATGAATACTTGCCACCATCGGAGTGACTTTATAAAGCAGGACGCCGAAGCAAAAAAATGCCGTGTACTACTGAGATGTTTAAAGCGAATGTTGATTACCAGCTATAAAGTAATACGGGATTTAGCATGCGACGTTTACGGCATCAGACGCCGTGGTCGAGTGTAAGAAAGTATAGTGGGCAGCGAATCAGCACAGACTGCTTACAATCCTGAGCTGACCTACATTCTGTGAAAGAACTGAAGTTGAGAAAGTCCAATCTATGCACAACGGTGTCATGTTTCAGAGAAAACATTGGTAGCGTGGCAAATATGTTAATTAAAGAAAAGCTGAAAACAGTCATTTGAATATTAATAGATTAAATATTTATGAAGATATAATTTCGTGAATTTCGTAAAAGAATGCATGATGTGAAAAGGTTTGCCATAGTATAGAGACATCTTATCGTTTGCCAAGTAGTATATATATGTGTAGGGCTCATGGATAATAAGTAATAGTAGTAATATAATTAAGTTAATATAGTTAGTATAAGTCATAATAGTAATTATATATTGCTATATTAAAACAAATAATGCAATAATCACGGCACATAATAAATATATATTCGAATAACATTTACATTTTATGTCTTAATTGCGGAAATAAGGAACTTTATAATATAGCTAATAAACGATCAATTTTGTTGAGAATGTTGTTATTATAAACGTTGGCAATGATTTATGATCACCTATGTTGGTCCTAATTCATATAATGCGATAAAGACGTACAGGCAAAATAAAATAATACAATTTACTCGCGAAACCCTAGTGCTTTTGAAAAAGTATGCAGGATATATATATAAATTAACAGTCCCACATTCGGGAGAGGTTTAGAGCGAAAAATTTAAAGAATCTTCTTATAAAATATGAAAGCCGACGAACTTAGATCGTTTGCATTTGCGATATAGAAATAACGCTCTAGGGGAAACACATTTCAAAATATTACGTGATCATAATTATATAGTGACATTAGCGACGTTACATGTTATAGCTCATAATAGATGGAGACGCTTTCGATCACATTAGGTGCATCCCACGGCTACCAGCCTGCTGATCGTTAGGCAGTTGATAATTACGCATGGTGATGTATACAGCGTGTACCTCCTATACGACACGAACGTGTGTGTTTAGCGGACGGTGCACATAG